ATTATAATTGTCCATCTACCAGGGTGAAAGTACATTTTCCTGATCGTTCCATTTACACCACTTAGATCTACCTTAAACTCTGATAAATATCACTTTGAATGACATTAGTAGCACTTATCACCCATCTATCAACTAATATACAACTCACTGTTATCCGATATCTCATAGTAACAGATTTTACGACAAATCATACCTCTACGATGTATAGCTTATATGATATAGTCACTTGGCAGTAATCTTAAAATGTACATACCAGCAATATAATGATTTAAAACTCAACATACATCAGTCCAGTTATTAAAGTTTTTCCCTAGCTCAAATGACAGAATCACTTTTCTCTGTCATATATATAAGATGTTCGGATTCCAATATATTGGTCTCTTGATTTTTTAAGGAATGAATAAGAAGAAAAATATACTAACGACTGTAGTGTTCTTAGTATTTAACATTTTAATAATTTCTACGCATGTGAGTAGATACACTTAGCATTCATTGTTGTCTCGTTCAAACAAATCTAATTTATTTATTTATTTCAACACATAAATACTGGTACAAGAGGAGACCAAATATATGTGCGCCACACCATATTTGTGTGTGTGTGGGCTGTGATACTGCCTGGGTGCCCAAACCGAAGCAGGTAAACAAATCTAAAACATGAAGGATAACTGCAGTACCTGTACAGTTTGAAAATAACTATCCCAAACTTTTAGACAGGTCACCAGTTTTCAGGTGCAATAACTGAGATAGGTTCGTTCGAGTAACATGATTCCTTTATTAGGATCCACGTAACTCAGAAGTGAAAGTGTTATCACCAATGGAATTGGATGATCAAAGCCTCTATATAGCTCATTAACTGAAGTTGACAAACTAAACCTCTGAATGTTGATTCACTGGCTTAAAAGTGTTGTATTCATCATGTTGACTGTAGCTCTTGTGTTCGATTTCATAAAAAGTTCTGTTTCCATCATGAAGAAGCATTAAACGTGAACAAACTAGATACCTAGTGTTTTCTGTATTCATGAATACTATCTTCAATCTCCATCACCCCCGTACATCAGTAACAATCAATAGTTAAGTAATTATGTCTACTTGCTTACAGATTTTGTGTTAAGTATTGATTATAGTAATCATCATTAATTCATGGATTTTGTTTATTCATTGGAAATTAATTAGACACTCCCTCCTCATTTTGTAATTAGCCATTTGCAAGTTTGTGGATGTATGCATCAATGGAAGACAAATCATTTACTAAACCTTTATATGTTGAGTTACTAGGACTCAAAATGATTTCCCATCTTTATCTTATTCGTGGATTTACTTATTTGAACACATAATTATTGGTACAAAGGGGCACCAAATAGATAAGCGCCACATAAATCATTGGATTTGTATGAGGGATAGGATACTGCTCGGGTGCCCAAACCGAAGTAGGTGGTTTGCTTGGGGGGCAACACCCGGAGCTTTTGATCTAAAGGTGTTATTCACAAGGTATTGCAGCATCGTAAAGAGCTGCAGTCCTATGATAGCCGGTGACCAACGATTAGTTCATACGCCATTTGTTCCATCAGGATAATGGAGCCCATGTGGAGCACTGGCTTAGAATTAGGGTTTTCCAACTCCCCTATGTGGACTCTCCATGTCCATCAACGCGGTTAAGGCGCCGGAGATTCGCTCTTCGTCCTCTCAATTTTGTAAACAACACCCCCACCGTGAGAAGGAAATGAGTAGGACTTCCCTGGTAGTGGTTGCATGCATGTGGCCGTGTGAGAGCGGACTCTCCCCATTCTCGGCCGTACCAGGGTACTTCGTGGATTCATACCAACAAAGAAATAGTTAAATTAAAGACTGACGCAACTGACTCCAACATTGTTTACAAAGTGGACTAATGTGAACTGTGTACAAATTTCGATGTTAACTTGTGTGTATTCAAATTTATAAACAGAACCAATTGCATGAAACTAGATATATTCGTTATTGCTACCGTAGTCCAATGATCATCTGATGTCTTAGGACATAGTCAGGGTTATATTAATTATTTATCCTATCAGGAAGCTAAAATTAGGCCAAGAATGACATAGAAACATGGAGTCAAATGCCTAACTACAACTAGTTGAACAGACCAATCTACTTTGTTATTGATGCGTACGATACTTAAGGATTAGATGAATAAGTAAAGTCCAGTTGCAACTGATTATATTCATTATCATCCATTCAACCTGTTTGTATTCAGTTCAGATATGAAACACTCAGCATTTCTTTATTGAAATGTATTGGAGAACATAGGTGAGGACAACCAAATTATTTTTAGCACAGCAATCCAGAGTTACTTGGTAAAATAGAAAAACCATGCTATAATACCCAACTTGCAAAATGTACAATGATTGTCTCAGACTTCATTGTTCTTGCATTTCCATACTAATTGCTGTCTATCCCCGCTCTTCCTATCTTGATCTTCCCAGTCTTCTGCTGCCAGACATTACATTCTTGACTCGCGTTATATACTACTTATATCAATATAAGTAACACGCACCACAATAATACAATATGAAATATTGTTTTTTACTACATTCTAAATTATTGTTAAACTAAATACTCACGTTAAGAACTAAATTTCGTTGGCCACATTTAAGATTTCCAAATAAATGATTATGTTATTTATGAAAATCTTAATGACTAGAAATGTAATCTATCATATGAATTCATCTAATCAAGTCAATGACAACCTAAATAATAGATGCTGTGTAGTGACTAGAAATACTTTTTTCTTCGCTAAGTGATTAGCGATGGGATCCAGAACTGTTATCTTGTTACCTTGACTTGGTGGTCGAGCTTGCCTGTTGTGATGAAGCAACCGAGCTACACCTGCTGGAACAACCGTTCCTCAAGGTCCTACCATGTCAGACAGGTCGGTTGAGGAGCGGTAAGACTAAAAGCAACAAACTCAAGGTCCGAAGGCGAAGTCGTACAGCTGACTGTACAGAGGTATGACAGTAGTAAGGCGTTTCCTTCAGGCAACAAGCATGGCAGTGATGATGCCTTCCCACAAGGAGGGGTGGGGTTAGAGAAGGTCAACCTTAAAAATGCACACCTCGCCTTATCCCACGGATATCCGTCTCCAGCAGTAAGGTCTCAACAAGTACGGAGCTAACACAAAAGTTACTCATAAAAAGGTCGAGTGTGACCGACCTCAAGCAGTTGTCCCTTGGGCACTGCGGTCACGCTCTCAAGTCACTAAGACCACCTTTAATCCAAATTCCTTTTCAGGTACCTCCAGAAGAACCCTTCCACGGTGTGGGCAACCGGGAAGTGATAACCGCCCTCATACCTCTAACAGCACTCAAGACCACTATTCATTCAATTTTGTTACATTTAGAAATTGTTGGTAGATTGCGTCTAGATTTTGACGGATTGCGATTCCTACTGAGATCGAAACTAATCGTTCATTACTTTAAACACTGGAGTATTATTTTTGAGATATTTTCTTTATCTCCTTTCAGTAAAAATTTATTTATTCCTTTCAATTGATAAATCGGTATCTTTAATGGTAAGAATTGGTATGAGCTGATTGAAATGAAGTTACTTTGTTCAAAAATAGATATATATATTTCAACAGCCGACCAAAATAATACCAGTACTATAAGAGAGGGTTATCAAATGCAGATTATCATCATTACTGAATAAGTATACGATGAATTACGTATCAGATATTACTTTTTTATCTAAATGAACGTTTTTAGTAATACAAAGGATTAAATCTGCAAACCTGATCTATTAATAAAGATATAGGGTCAAGTAAAGGCAAATTAATTCAAATACGACGATCAAGATTCAAAAATTAAATGTACCACCAACACTTCACAAGAAATGTTCAGTATCAATAGTTGAGATCATGAGTCAACTGAAGCTAGACCACCATGGAAAACCTGGACAGCCGTTTCGTCCTATTAAGGTACTCCTCAGCAGAATGCATCCAACAACGCCGCCTAGCGGAATTCGAACCCAGGACCTATACGTTTCGCGCCAGGGGCCTAACCAAATAGACCACTGAGCCGGCATCCAACAGTGTCAATGTCTAACTTCAACTAATCCACGAAATTGTGCGACACATCCATCATTGTCATCAGTGAGTTACTACCTCACAACTGACCCGGTTGAACTCCGCTGGTCACTGCTTCTCACTATGCAATAGCATTAACAGATTATTTGCTATCATCTATACGTGTAACATGACTTTATACTGACTGAGTTTAAAATTACATAGATGATCTATAACGTTGAAGAAATGTAGAATATGGTAGTAGCAACAAATAATCCTACTATATGATATAAAGCAGATAGATAAGAAGCATAGATTGAAGTACTAGAAAGATCTTACACATACATAAACCTAAAGTCTTTTCAAAGAAAATATTTTCCTTGAAAAAGCTTGGATCAGATTGCCAAACGAAATGTTGGATTTACTTCAAATTCTTTCACTGAGATTTGCACAAATACATATTCCTTCCTCTTTAATGTCTCACTATTCATTTAAATTTAGACGAAAGTTCTACAATCAATAACGAATTATCAAAGAAAAATGTACAATTGATAATAACCACTGAATTATCAATCTATTTTGTTTAAATAATCAATCTATATAACTAACAAAACAAAACATGTTTACAAAAAAAGCAAGTTAAACATTTTTTAGAAAAAATAAAATAAAATAAACAAACTGAACAATGAAACAAATTGATATCAATCAATAAATCAGTCAATCAGCAACAAATTTATAAAGATGCACAAAACATAAATAAACAATAAACAATAAGAATAAGAATAATCATACCAAGTACCACACATAATAGTAGTAAAGAAAACCCTGAAAACTAGACAATATCACATCAGTATACAAAGGTTAATAATAAATAATTTTCTTTACTTTGTATACATCATAATTATTTTTGTCGTAGTTTTCATGTTTACATTAAAAATTAAAAAATAAAAAAAGAATTAATGATCTAAAGTAAATTACAATTGGATGATTCATATTCAATTACTTCACTAGGTATTTCACCATTCTCAATGTTAATCAATTCAGAAATGACCTAACAGTAACATAAATTAAATAGTATATGATTATGTAATAAGTATATATATAAATATACATGAAACAGAATTAAAGTTTGACTGCTTAAACTAATAATTATGGGTATAGTGTCGGTGACCGTACCACGTTGGAAGCGCCGGTTTTCGTCCGATTACCGCAGTTAAGCAACGTTGACATTAATCAATACTTGCATCGGTGGACCAGCTGAGAATAACGCGTGTCTCTGGCTTATTAACGTCATAGTGACTGAGTGGTCTAAGGCGTCAAACTCGAGTATTCTTCTCGGTGTTCTGATCCACGACGTGAACGTGGGTTCGAATCCCGACTCCGAAAAATACTTTGCACCATAAACGCCCTGGTGCGGCCGAGCGCCAGCTCTCCCTCTGGAAATGCTTCCACACGATCACATGTATACAACCACTAACAGAGAAATCTTATTCACTGCCTTCAGTCAGCCAGTAACAACGTAGAACTTCGTGCGTACGTACGTCAATTCGAGTTGCCACACCACATTAGCACAGAAATGCAGTTGTCAGTTCAAATCCCGTAGTGGTAGAGATAGTAAGAATAGTAATCAGAATGATTACGGTTTCAAGATATTATTCAAGAAGTATAATCCAGTGAAATAAATTTGGAAACAGAAAAAAGAAAGGGATACGAACATTTCAGAAGATTAGAATTTAGGAGAACACAAAGAGTGGATGCACCTGCACAATTGCAAACGATTTTGAGCCATGTCATTCAACTGTTGCTTACGAAATTGAGAAGACAAAAGGCGAATGTCCGGTGCTTTAACCACGTTGGTGGACATGGACAGTCTACATAGGGGAGTCGGAAAACCCAGATTCCAAACCGATGCTCCACATGGACTCTAGGATCCTGAAGGAACAAATGGCGTATGAACTAATCGTTGGTCACCGGCTATCATAGGACTGCAGCTCCTCATGATACTCCACTGCCTTGTGAATAACACCTTTAGATCAAAGGCTCCGGGTGTGGCCCCCTAAGAAAATCACCTACTTCGGTTTGGGCACCCAGACAGTATCCCAACCCCACACAAATCCAATGATTTATGTGACGCTTATCTATTTGGTGCCTCTCTATGTACCAATGTTTGTGTTTAATTAAATTGAGTCAGTCGTCAGTCAGCCACAACGTAGGACCAAGCACATCTATGCATCGGTCAAAGTTGCCACACCTCATTAACACAACAAGATGAACACCGGATTCATAGAAGTAGTTAATTCAATGGTAGTAATACATAAAACAAAGATTGCATATAAGCATATAGTACAAGAAGAAAGAATTAGTTCGTAAAAAGAAAGATATGAAGTGATCTTAATCTCACTGTTTAAGAGAAAACAGAGAGTGTATACACGTACGCCATTGTGACCGATTCTGAGCTGTCACCAAGAGTCTCCAACCATTGGTTACGATAGTCACGCGGACCACAACCAAGTAGTCTGCATTTACCAACATGGCTGAGACTAGAAGTTAGTGTCATCAAGCACTGATAGATTCATCGTGGAAAATAGAAACATGAATGATAAAATCTACCCTATTGAATATCATGAAATCTGAATCGAGCAAGGTCACTTGACCGAAAAAGTCTTATCATTTAATCTCAAACAGAATGTACAAGAAATTTAAGTAACTTGGACTATTGGTTACATTCGGCTTTGATGTAATTTACACTAAAATATACTTGTGTAAAAATCCTATCTGTTTGCCTATCTTTTCTTATGCTGACATTATGGTTTAGGAAATAAATGACAGAGAAAAATCTGAAAAATAAATTTCTAACATCAGTGATTCGCGGATTTTATACAAGCTGTAAAATATAGGGACTAAGTAAAATGCATTCAGTACTGAGAAAAATTGAAAATTTAGGTTAATCAATAATAATTCCCGTAGTTTCTAATGATTCGATAACAACAGGAAACTATTAGTGAAAGCAATTTTTAAGTGAGGTAATTTACTTAGTATATAATCCACTAAACTCGAGTCTACTCTAATACCTAAATAATAACCAGGAAGTGCAATTTTGAAAGACGTCTACATAAAATATTTAGAGAAAGTTCAAGTAAATCGAAATCGCATTATCTCCATGTTTCTTGATAAAATTAACAATTCGAAATTCATCAATATGTCTCTGATTATTCACTGAATTTCCCCTGGGAAACGTACTGTCCAAATATAGATGTGTAGAAATTAACAATAATGTAAAGTTATACTTTTAACTTTGAAAAAAAAGTAAGAATAACTTACGGCTTCTGTTGAAGGAAAACTATCACACTTTAGTTTTGAAAAAATTAGATTTCCATTCACGGTGATTTCGAAAGATCCTGGAAGATAATAAGTAGTCATGAAAGAAATCATAATATACCAACTAATTAAACTATTCAGTAACTGTTAAAAAGGAATTCAAAGCTGGAATTGAATCACACTGATATGAGATCAGTAGGAAAAAAAATTTCAGAATTGAAATACTCTATAATAATCCGACAATTATCGACTAGATTATTATGTTTATCTACGTTATCTATTCCACTGTTATCACTGACTTATAAACTGTCTTGATTGGTTTACTTACTTTCGTGTATGCATATAAATATTACTGTACATTAGGGTAAGGCCTGATGATCTAATTGAGAACAATATTGTTCGCTTATATATGTTGTTCTAATTCAGAATAAGTAATTTGTTAAAATATGATCAAGCTATTGTTAAGTTAAACTGATTCCTTACATCTTCAGATTCCATTTCTTGTTGAGTTAACGTGAGACATTTAAGAAAAATTCATACACTATTCACTCATTAGCTGATATAATTTGTAGGTTCGCATAACTCATGTTCGGATAAACGTACCACTTACCATAAGAGATGATTGGTTTTTCAGTCACTTGTAGATCCAACAACTTTTGATAAACATCTGTCGTCATGAAGAAGAGGTTAGCCTATAGAGTGAGGTTAGACGCAGGGTATTGGGGAATTGATTGTAAAACAGTTGATGAGGTTGTGAATCTTGATCGAATGAGATGGTTGGACGTGTTATGTATGCCTGAACGCCCCCCTGAATGCCCTGGTACGGCCGAGAGTGGGGAGAGTCCGCTCTCCCTCTCGAAATACTCTCACACGGCCACGCGTATACAGCCTCTGCCAGGGAAGTCCTACTCATTGCCTTCTCGTGGCGGGGGTGTTGTTTACGAAAATGAGAGGACGAAAAGCGAATGTCCGGCGCTTTAACCGGATTCCAAATCAATGGTGCACATGGGCTCCAGTATCCTGCGGGAACGAATGGCGTATGAACCAATCGTTGGTCACCGGCTACCATGGGACTGCATCTCCTTACGATGCTCCACTGCCTTGTGGGTTAGACCTTTAGGTCAAAGGCTCGGGGAGTGGCCCCCTGAGGAAACCACCTGCTTCGGTCTGGGCACCCGGGCAGTATCACAGCCCACACACAAACGATGAACTCTATGTCTTTGGCAACTACTTTTATCGCTCCGAAAAACAAAAACAATCAATCGATTCAAATAATTATCATTACTATTATTGTCATTATTAATACTAATATTATTATTACTACTACTATTGTCATTATTGTTATTATCATCATTATTATTATTATTTTCCACATTATTCACCTTCTTTTATACTTATACAGCGGCTCGTCTTTGGTGGAATTCCGACTGTATCTAAACGTTCTCGAGTCACTGTCCGGTTGAAAATTGTATGTTACCACCGAATACGAGGACTGAAGCAGATTTTCTGAAACCACGTGCATCATTCAAACTGGCTGCCTTCAACGTTCGCACATTTATGCAGGTCGGACAACAGATAGGGCTGGCTATGTCTTTGGAAAGTCTTAATATCGACGTGTGTTGTCTATCCGAGACCCGTATTCAAGACTCTGGCGAAGTACTACAAATTCGATCTCCATCTGTCGCTTCGAAAAGCTTGTTTTACGTGCGCTTATCCGGGGACCCTGTGGCATCTTCGTCTGGTCTTGCTGGCGTTGGTGTCGCACTAAGCGCTAGAGCTGAGGCAGCACTAGTCGATTGGATTCCCATTAACAATCGGTTATGTGCTGTTAGATTAGAAAGTTCCATCAAAGTGAGAAGAAATCGGCGTGAGAAACGATGTCTTTTCGTCATCTCCGCCAATGCCCCGACAGATTGCAGCCCGGATGCAATCAAGGATGAGTTTTACCACCAGTTATCAGTTCTTCTCCAGAAAGTGCGTTCGACAGATATTGTAGTACTAGCCGGAGACTTGAATGCTCAGGTCGGGCGTCTAGGCACAGAAGAGAGTCGTTTAGGTGGCCGATGGGGACTCGTTGGTCGCAGGTCAGATAACGGGAACCGTCTACTGCAACTGTGCACAGACCACAACCTGTTTCTGGCTATCACTAACTTTCGGCACAGTCATCGCCGATGTGCCACCTGGGGTCCTCCCTCTGCATCTCAAGCCTGGACTCAGATTGATCACATCGCGATCAGCTACCGCTGGCGTGGTTGTGTACAAGACTGCCGCTCCTTTTGGAGTACCTATCTGGACTCTGACCATGCCTTGGTCTGCGCCAATCTTGCCTTACTTTTCAGTGGACAACTAAGTGAACGCCATCAACGGATTGATGTTAGCAAGCTGGTTGCAACTTCTGTTGCAAGTAAGTATCGAACCGAGCTAGCCTCTAGGCTAGCTACCACTCCACCGAAAAGTATAGATGAGCATTGGTTGCAATTGCATGACGCCATGAAAATGGCGGGAACAGTCAGTTGTGGGTTTGCGAAACGTCCCGCTTTTAAGCACTGGGTTTCTGCAGGTTCCTTACAACTCATTGAAGCCCGTCGGTCTACTCCGGGTGACCGTGAGTTTGACCATAAACGAAGGATGCTATGTAAGGAAATCGGGCAAAGCTTGCGTAAGGACCGAGAAGCCTGGTGGTCGATGCGTGCTAATGAGCTGGAAGCAGCAGCTGCATCTGGTAACTACCGGAAGCTCTTCCAGCTCATCCGAGCCACTGGCAGCAAGAAGTCTGGTGTGAGTGAAACAATCTGCGAGGATGATGGAATGCCAATCACTAACATCCATCGACGTCTTGGACGATGGGCAGAATTTTTCGAAGGGCAGTTCAACTGGCCTGCTGCTCCGGCAACATCGGTCAGACTGTCCTGCCCTCCATGGCCGGTGACGACTGATCCACCAAATGAGGAGGAAGTCCGCAAGGAACTCCAACTCTTGAAGCGTTACAAATCACCTGGCCCAGATGACTTACCTCCGGCTCTTTTTAAAGATGGTGGTGACTTTTTGACTAAGGAATTGACGACGTTGTTTACAAAGGTTTGGGAACTAGAGAGTGTATCAACGTCATGGAATGAGTCGATAGTTGTCCCTATCTTTAAAAAGGGTTCACGTCGTTCTTGTAACAACTATCGGGGGATAAGTTTACTTCCGATTGCGTCCAAGCTATTGGCTTCCGTCATTCTTCGTAGGTTGTTCAAAACCCGGGAAAGATTGACTCGCGAGGAGCAGGCTGGGTTTCGTTCTGGTCGAGGATGTATTGATCATATCTTCACCCTTCGCCAAATGTTAGAACACCGCCATACTTTTCAAAGGCCAACAATCGTAGTGTTTCTTGACATCAGGGCTGCCTTCGATTCGTTGGATAGGACTGTTCTCTGGGATTGTCTATTGAAGAAGGGTGTGCCTGAGAAGTTTATTAACATCCTAAAAGCCCTGTATAAAAACACCTCAGGCAGAGTGAGGGCATACAACCACCTCTCTCCATTGTTCCATTCGAGCAGTGGGGTTAGGCAGGGTTGCCCAATCTCACCATTCCTCTTCAACTTTGCCATCGATGACATTCTGGAAACAGCTCTGATGAATGTAAGTAATGGTGGTGTGGATCTGTTGCCTGGAGAAAGACTTCTCGACCTTGAGTATGCGGACGATATTGTCTTACTGTGCGATAATGCCCAAGGCATGCAATCCGCACTTAATCAGTTGGCAATCAATGTCCGTAGGTATGGTATGTGCTTTGCACCTTCGAAGTGCAAAGTACTTCTACAAGACTGGCAGGATTCTAATCCTGTACTCACCCTGGACGGTGAGCAGATAGACGTAGTTGAGAAGTTCGTGTATCTGGGTAGCTGCATAAGTGCTGGTGGGGGTGTGAGTGATGAGATCAATGCACGAATAGTGAAAGCCAGAGCGGCTTATGCCAATCTGGGCCATCTATGGCGCCTTCGTGATGTTAGTCTGGCCGTAAAAGGTCGGATCTACAACGCGTCGGTGAGAGCAGTTTTGCTCTATGCTTGTGAAACCTGGCCTCCGAGTTGAGGACGTTAGACGACTCTCTGTGTTCGATCATCGCTGTCTCCGAAGGATTGCTGACATTCAGTGGCAACACCATGTCAGTAATGCAGAGGTTCGGTATCGTGTGTTCGGGCACAGAGATGATAACTCAATTGGTGTCACCATCTTGAAACACCGACTTCGGTGGCTTGGACATGTTCTCCGAATGTCGTCCCAGAGAATTCCACGTCGTGCATTATTTGCCGACTCTGGGACTGGTTGGAAGAAGCGGAGAGGTGGTCAGTGCATGACATGGTGTCGTGGCATGAAAGAAAGCTGCAAAGGACTGGCTTGTGTTGGTCCTTCACGACTCCCTGGCTGGGGTCCGAGAGATGGTGCTACACAGTGGCTAGAGACGTTATCAGATATGGCTCAGAATAGAAGCCAGTGGCGATCCTGCTGTAACCTTCTTTTACTTTCTTCATAAAAAGTGGTTGTGTCTCCTTTACCTGAAAGCTTTCTTCTGATTGTACCTTTTCGTTCCGTCGTTACTACCACACTACCTTACTCCCATCTCTTCGTCATTGTTCTCTTTTTCTTTTGCGTTCCTTAGTTTTTTTTCTTTCTGCTTCTCTTCGAATTCTCATTGTTTTGTGTGGCGCATATATATTGGCGCTCTCTTGTACCAATATTTATGTGTTCAAATAAATAAAATGCCTGAACACCAATTACCACGACGTACAATGCTAACCGGTGTTGAGGTTGGTTGGAAGAAAGTTAGGGGCGGCCAAAACAAAACGTGGCGTCAGTCCTTGAAGTCAATAACTTCTGATCTCAGCCATGTTGGTAAATGCAGACTACTTGGTTGTGGTCCGCGTGACTATCGTAACCAATGGTTGGAGACTCTTGGTGACATGACTCAGACTCGGTCAAAATGGCGTAGGTGTATCCACTCTGTCTTCCCTTAAACTATGAGATTAGAGTCACTTCATATCTTCCTTTCTACGAGCTAATACTTTCTTCTCGTACCATATCCTTATATGCAATCTTTCTTCTATATATTACCACCATTGACTTAACCATTCCTATGAATCCGGTGTTCATCTTGCTGTGTTAATGCGGTATGACAACTTTGACCGATGCATAGATGTGCTTGGTCCTACGTCGTAGCTGATTGACTGATTACAACAGTGATTTGAAGCAAGCGGTTGTTGATACCGGCCATAGTTAACTCAAACGCATACCGCCGTAGTTCGTTCACTCTGGGACTAAGTGGCTAACGCGATGGAGTTTGAAGTAAACGGCACTGGCCTCGAGTACCCGGAATGATGCAGGTATATCCAGCTGATGAGCCCTAAATGGGACGAGACATGCGTCCGGGATTCCACACTAGACACTATCCATCATTATTCAGAATGCTTATGAATCAAGGCTATTCTGAGGCAATGTGCACAGTATGTGCATATATCAATAAGAGACTGATCAATTGCAGTCCTAATTTATTTATTTGCTTAGGGGACAACACACGGAGCCTTCGACCTAAAGATCTGATTCACAAGGCATTAGAGCATCGTAAGGAGCTGCAGTCCCATGATAGCCGGTGACCAACGATTGGTTCATACGCCATTTGTTCCTTCAGGATAATGAAGCCCATGTGGAGCACTGGTTTGGAATTAGGATTTTCCAACTCCCCTATGTGGACTGTCCATGTCCACCAACGTGGTTAAAGCGCCGGACATCCGCTTTTTGTCCTGTCAATTTCGTAAACAACACCCCCACCACGAGAAGGCAATGAGTAGGACTTCCCTGGCAGAGGATATACGCCTGGCCATGTGAGAGCATTTCGAGAGGGAGAGCGGACTCACCCCACTCTCGGCCGTACCAGGGCATTGGAGTCCTAAACATCAATGGGAAGACTCAAGTAAACAATATCAAGTGAATTTAAGTCTGTACTGTTAAGAAAAATGGGAAGTTTCTTCAGTTTTAGGACGTTCTACAAGTGTTGTGGTGGCAACAATAGTGATAGATGTATGCTTTTCATATATGAGTTTTCCATGAAGAGCTTTTAAGGACTGAGTTTTACGGGTTTTCGAGCTATTATGAAATCAAGTGAGACTTACATTGATATCGATCTAGGAAGTCTAAAGACTTGTGATTTACGTAATACCCGTACAGTATTTGGGGACTGATATATGTGGACACCGTACGGGGAACTGTCTTTGCACACGAAAATTGGTCTGTTAGTCTCCAGTCAAAACAAGTTGTAAAACAGGGGACTCAAGCTTTTGAGATAAATGAATTTGATTGTGACTACCTATAATATGTAATATATACATAAATAGGGAAAAAAGGATATAGACATTGAGCACTTGATACAGCATAATTTGACTAAATTAATGCAAAACTACAGAGAACGTTATACTCCAATCGCATATACACCAAACAAGTAGTTGATAAGTGTTTGCCCATAAGAAATAGTATATTTGGTCGCGTATACACAAAATAATAAAAATACACAAAAGGTAGGAGGCTGTTAGGTTAAATATTAAGAGGATTACATACAAGTGCCTCAAGATAAGGTGAATCCCTAAACATTAAATTAGCAAACTTACTTGACCGACCTTCCTGAATATTTACAGAAGCTGATCTACATTTCTGCTTGATTGTAACTGCGAGACGTTGTGCTCGAGGGAAATACCCTCATCCTCCACTACACAATTTGAAAATAGTCATTTTGAAAATCTATTCGATTATTAAAATACAGTTATAATGATTAGTTATACATCTCAAAACTAAATCCTGATAATGGGCAAGAAACAATTGTTGATTTACACACAGTGAAGTCAACTCAGTTCAATATCTAGTTATCTAGGTATTTTAAATAATGTGTGGCGCATATATATTGGCGCTCTCTTGTACCAATATTTATGTGTTCAAATAAATAAATAATTAGATCTATAATTCCAGTTATCCATAACTTGGAAATTATAATCACACTAAGTTTGCTTTATTGAGCGAAGCTAACCTTGGATTTAATATAGATATTTATTTTATTCTGTTTAACCACAGAAAACCAAGGCCAAAAATGATGTTGGGCAAACGATTAGCCTGTAAGAACATACAATAGACTATAAATGCAGCTTAGCGTAACAAATTATTGGTTATCCATAGAAAACGTAACATTTTATACATAACTTGAAACCGATAAATGATGCTTTGCCAAATTATTGGCTGGTTATCCTGAAATATTTTGTTTCGCCTATTTCTGTCTAGAAGAAACATGCTTACGATTTAATACAGATCATCATAAAGCCAACAGGAGAAAACAATAAATTCTTGAATGGATATATTGGCAGTTTTTTATTTATTTATTTGAACACATAAATATTGATACAAGAGAGCGCCAATATATATGCGCCACACAAAACAATGGGAATTCGAAGAGAAGTAGAAAGAAAAAAAAACTAAGGAACGCAAAAGAAAAAGAGAGTAATGACGAAGAGGTACAATCAGAAGAAAGCTTTCAGGTAAAGGAGACACAACCACTTTTTATGAAGAAAGTAAAAGAAGGTTACAGCAGGATCGCCACTGGCTTCTATTCTGAGCCATATCTGATAACGTCTCTAGCCACTGTGTAGCACCATCTCTCGGACCCCAGCCAGGGAGTCGTGAAGGACCAACACAAGCCAGTCCTTTGCAGCTTTCTTTCATGCCACGACACCATGTCATGCACTGACCACCTCTCCGCTTCTTCCAACCAGTCCCAGAGTCGGCAAATAATGCACGACGTGGAATTCTCTGGGACGACATTCGGAGAACATGTCCAAGCCACCGAAGTCGGTGTTTCAAGATGGTGACACCAATTGAGTTATCATCTCTGTGCCCGAACACACGATACCGAACCTCTGCATTACTGACATGGTGTTGCCACTGAATGTCAGCAATCCTTCGGAGACAGCGATGATCGAACACAGAGAGTCGTCTAACGTCCTCAACTCGGAGGCCAGGTTTCACAAGCATAGAGCAAAACTGCTCTCACCGACGCGTTGTAGATCCGACCTTTTACGGCCAGACTAACATCACGAAGGCGCCATAGATGGCCCAGATTGGCATAAGCCGCTCTGGCTTTCACTATTCGTGCATTGATCTCATCACTCACACCCCCACCAGCACTTATGCAGCTACCCAGATACACGAACTTCTCAACTACGTCTATCTGCTCACCGTCCAGGGTGAGTACAGGATTAGAATCCTGCCAGTCTTGTAGAAGTACTTTGCACTTCGAAGGTGCAAAGCACATACCATACCTACGGACATTGATTGCCAACTGATTAAGTGCGGATTGCATGCCTTGGGCATTATCGCACAGTAAGACAATATCGTCCGCATACTCAAGGTCGAGAAGTCTTTCTCCAGGCAACAGATCCACACCACCATTACTTACATTCATCAGAGCTGTTTCCAGAATGTCATCGATGGCAAAGTTGAAGAGGAATGGTGAGATTGGGCAACCCTGCCTAACCCCACTGCTCGAATGGAACAATGGAGAGAGGTGGTTGTATGCCCTCACTCTGCCTGAGGTGTTTTTATACAGGGCTTTTAGGATGTTAATAAACTTCTCAGGCACACCCTTCTTCAATAGACAATCCCAGAGAACAGTCCTATCCAACGAATCGAAGGCAGCCCTGATGTCAAGAAACACTACGATTGTTGGCCTTTGAAAAGTATGGCGGTGTTCTAACATTTGGCGAAGGGTGAAGATATGATCAATACATCCTCGACCAGAACGAAACCCAGCCTGCTCCTCGCGAGTCAATCTTTCCCGGGTTTTGAACAACCTACGAAGAATGACGGAAGCCAATAGCTTGGACGCAATCGGAAGTAAACTTATCCCCCGATAGTTGTTACAAGAACGACGTGAACCCTTTTTAAAGATAGGGACAACTATCGACTCATTCCATGACGTTGATACACTCTCTAGTTCCCAAACCTTTGTAAACAACGTCGTCAATTCCTTAGTCAAAAAGTCACCACCATCTTTAAAAAGAGCCGGAGGTAAGTCATCTGGGCCAGGTGATTTGTAACGCTTCAAGAGTTGGAGTTCCTTGCGGACTTCCTCCTCATTTGGTGGATCAGTCGTCACCGGCCATGGAGGGCAGGACAGTCTGACCGATGTTGCCGGAGCAGCAGGCCAGTTGAACTGCCCTTCGAAAAATTCTGCCCATCGTCCAAGACGTCGATGGATGTTAGTGATTGGCATTCCATCATCCTCGCAGATTGTTTCACTCACACCAGACTTCTTGCTGCCAGTGGCTCGGATGAGCTGGAAGAGCTTCCGGTAGTTACCAGATGCAGCTGCTGCTTCCAGCTCATTAGCACGCATCGACCACCAGGCTTCTCGGTCCTTACGCAAGCTTTGCCCGATTTCCTTACATAGCATCCTTCGTTTATGGTCAAACTCACGGTCACCCGGAGTAGACCGACGGGCTTCAATGAGTTGTAAGGAACCTGCAGAAACCCAGTGCTTAAAAGCGGGACGTTTCGCAAACCCACAACTGACTGTTCCCGCCATTTTCATGGCGTCATGCAATTGCAACCAATGCTCATCTATACTTTTCGGTGGAGTGGTAGCTAGCCTAGAGGCTAGCTCGGTTCGATACTTACTTGCAACAGAAGTTGCAACCAGCTTGCTAACATCAATCCGTTGATGGCGTTCACTTAGTTGTCCACTGAAAAGTAAGGCAAGATTGGCGCAGACCAAGGCATGGTCAGAGTCCAGATAGGTACTCCAAAAGGAGCGGCAGTCTTGTACACAACCACGCCAGCGGTAGCTGATCGCGATGTGATCAATCTGAGTCCAGGCTTGAGATGCAGAGGGAGGACCCCAGGTGGCACATCGGCGATGACTGTGCCGAAAGTTAGTGATAGCCAGAAACAGGTTGTGGTCTGTGCACAGTTGCAGTAGACGGTTCCCGTTATCTGACCTGCGACCAACGAGTCCCCATCGGCCACCTAAACGACTCTCTTCTGTGCCTAGACGCCCGACCTGAGCATTCAAGTCTCCGGCTAGTACTACAATATCTGTCGAACGCACTTTCTGGAGAAGAACTGATAACTGGTGGTAAAACTCATCCTTGATTGCATCCGGGCTGCAATCTGTCGGGGCATTGGCGGAGATGACGAAAAGACATCGTTTCTCACGCCGATTTCTTCTCACTTTGATGGAACTTTCTAATCTAACAGCACATAACCGATTGTTAATGGGAATCCAATCGACTAGTGCTGCCTCAGCTCTAGCGCTTAGTGCGACACCAACGCCAGCAAGACCAGACGAAGATGCCACAGGGTCCCCGGATAAGCGCACGTAAAACAAGCTTTTCGAAGCGACAGATGGAGATCGAATTTGTAGTACTTCGCCAGAGTCTTGAATACGGGTCTCGGATAGACAACACACGTCGATATTAAGACTTTCCAAAGACATAGCCAGCCCTATCTGTTGTCCGACCTGCATAAATGTGCGAACGTTGAAGGCAGCCAGTTTGAATGATGCACGTGGTTTCAGAAAATCTGCTTCAGTCCTCGTATTCGGTGGTAACATACAATTTTCAACCGGACAGTGACTCGAGAACGTTTAGATACAGTCGGAATTCCACCAAAGACGAGCCGCTGTATAAGTATAAAAGAAGGTGAATAATGTGGAAAATAATAATAATAATGATGATAATAACAATAATGACAATAATAGTAGTAATAATAATATTAGTATTAATAATGACAATAATTGTAGTGATCATAATTTGAATCGATTGATTGTTTTTCAAAGCGACAAAAGTAATTTCCATAGACATAAAGAGTTCATCATTTGTGTGTGGGCTGTGATACTGCCCGGGTGCCCAAACCGAAGCAGGTGGTTTCCTCAGGGGGCCACTCCCCGAGCCTTTGACCTAAAGGTCTAACCCACAAGGCAGTGGAGCATCGTAAGGAGATGCAGTCCCATGGTAGCCGGTGACCAACGATTGGTTCATACGCCATTCGTTCCCGCAGGATACTGGAGCCCATGTGCACCATTGATTTGGAATCCGGTTAAAGCGCCGGACATTCGCTTTTCGTCCTCTCATTTTCGTAAACAACACCCCCGCCACGAGAAGGCAATGAGTAGGACTTCCCTGGCAGAGGCTGTATACGCGTGGCCGTGTGAGAGTATTTCGAGAGGGAGAGCGGACTCTCCCCACTCTCGGCCGTACCAGGGCATTCAGGGGGCATTGGCAGTTTGAGGTATTAGATGACTATGCTTGATTATTGTTGACATCCAGTGGCAAAACCACGTTAGTAATATGTGTTCAGACACAGTGACGATGATTCAATTAGTGTCACCACCCAGAAACACTGACATTGAAGCCCTGGACATATACTACGAATGTTGTCCAATGGATTCCACACCGTGCATTATTTGTCGACGCTAGACCTGGTTAGAGAAAAACGGTGGTCCGGGTATAGAAAAGTGTCGTGGTATGAAAGAAGGCTGTAGAAAACTGGCTTCTGTCGGTCCTTCAAGACTCCCTGGTTGTGGTCCTGGAGCTAGTGCAACAATGGCTTGAGCCGTTATCAGAAATGGCGCAGAATAGAAGCCAGTGGTGGTACTACAGTAACTCTTTCGTCATATAAGAGTAACGTCTATAGCTGGAAGAATCCTTTATGAATACATTCTTCTCAATCAAACCTTTCCACTTCACTAATTTTTACTGTTTGTCCTATATATATATATATATATATATATATATATATATATATATATATATATATATATATATATATATATGTACGGATGCTTTTGAAACATACCAATGTTCGATAGTTACGGCCAACTTCTTTGTAGTACGTTGCATGTTTCGAATCGAGAATTTAAAAGCTTTATTTAGAGCCAACAGATAGCCTGAAAAATTGCACAATAATTAGGAGCCAACTTAACGCGCAATTTGAAGATTTGCTACAAATCAACATATTCATTTACACAAAAATTGACTAATTTAATAGTTATAGGAAAGAAACGTGTACTCACAAATACAGGGAAAATTGAGATCATAACCCAATGAAATCGGAATTGAGCTATACTCACAACTCGACCATCACTTAACGAGTATACAATATTAGTCGGTATTCGGTCACTTTAAAAACTAGCAAGATGCCTTGTTTCAGATGTTTTACTCATCTCAATTAAGAGTAGATGCCTAAAGGAGGATTTCAAAGATACTCACGAAGAACTTAAATCAAACTGCCGTACATATTAATATAACATTTTTATACTACCCATTTCTATCCGTTTTGAGTACGTTATTCTTAGGTTCCAATCTAGTCTACTCCGTCCATAACCATTTGCTAAGCAACAAATCTACTTTACAGTGGTGACAACCTCAACTTCGAGTGTAGATTCCATAAAAGTTGAGTAGCTCTAATGAATCTACATAAATATCTAATCTGGTACAAACATCCCTTTAAGATGTCTAAACAACCCAACTACCGAGTCCTTTCACATTAGAAATATGTACTACGAGAATACTTCCAGCGACTATAAGCTATGAACGAACCAATCATATTTAGGATAACAGGTCTTGTATTTTGGTGCGAAATCCGTCTGTTTAGCTAAACAGCGTTTTGGCATTTTAGCTTATGTCAGTTCGTGAAAACCTCGAGTCTAATTCCTAGCTCTAACCATCAACTGTAAATCATAATACGAATTCTTCACGCTGGTTTGTGACCATCATTTGGTCCTAGCCAAATGATGGACACGCTGAAGGTCACTTTAGAGTTGCTCAAAAGTCGTCCATAAATTGCTCTCACCACATTACCTCATAATACGTTTTAAAAAGCATAACATATATTGTGACGTTTACCTAGCCCAAAGACCTTCAAAGTTTTCATATTCTATAAAACCAAACTAGGCGCAGTTATGAAATTTTTGAAAGCTGTGTGCGCCATATCGTGCTTTTGGATTCTTAAATACAATCTTTTAGTATATATAGGCATGAATGCTACTCTTCTTAGGATGACAATACACAACCATTTCGAAATTCCTATGACACCGCTGGATAGTGGTCCTTTCCACTTAGTTCTGACTAGCTATGTTAGAAACTTAAAGCAGTGCAACGGCATATGACGGCTTTCCTGTAATTTCACTAGCACAATCATCCTTGGCTGACGGCCTAATTATGACATCCGGCAATCCTTACATTTCGGTAGCAAGATTGATACCCTTATCAAGAGAAATCAACTTTGTAGAGTGGTTGCTATATTGAGAAATCAGTATTCAGTTATAAGGATAGGAGGTCTATCGACCTATATTAATCCTTGCAGTTTGTAATACTGGAGAGGTCCAATCTCGTTTTGAATATATTAACAGACGATGCTGATATTACGTGTTCCGGTAGGGAATTCCAGTAATTCACTACTCGGTGCGAGAAACGGAACTCCAGACGTAAACGGTTTGATCTCGGTTTTTGAACTTCCTTCTAATGTCCTCTCAAATGATCGGTTCTAGACAGAAGCAAAAGATAAGACATGTTAATACCAAGGTCATCGTTCAGTATACGATAGGCCAATATTAGATCACCCCGTACTCTACGGTAAGATAACGGAAATAAGTTAAGGTGTCTCAGTCTGTCTTCATAAGATAGGCCAGCTAGACCTTGTACCATCTTAGTACCTCGTCGTTGGACTCTTTCGAGCATATCTGCTTCATACTTGAAACAAGGACACGCTGCTTGAATCCCGTATTCTAAATGTGGTCGCACATAAATCGGGTATAGTAATCCAAACATTTCATCATCTAAATACTGGAAAGACCTACGAATTGACCATAATACCCTATAGCCTTTTGCAGCAGCAGCCTTACAGTGACTAGTGGTTTTGAGATCATTGCTTAATATGACTCCTAAATCTTTATAGTTGTTTATTTCATAGGATTTACCGACCGATAATTCTGTAAAACTGTCAGACTCCAGAAACTTCAAAATTAAACATAAAAAAAATTGTGCTATATTGGGACAACTTGAAAGACAAAACACATACAACGGGAGGAGATATCACATACATACACCGACGGACTCCAAGGCAGACTTCCCGCTGTTTGACGAAAACAATATTTAAAACAAGTAACCAAATGATTCAAGTGGTTCTGGGAGAAAAAAACCCTTAGATTTCATGTTTGTGTAGTAAGGACAAAAGGCCCACGGCCTATGTTATTCCTGGCAGATCGTGTAAAAAGACGGGAAGCCGGAAAAGAACTACAACATAGGTTAGACGCTGGAGAAAAGGACATAAAAATTGTAAATTTTCGGGTTGTGAAGCTCCGACAGAGAATGATGTCGAGGTCACTCTGGGTGAAGCACGAAGCCACTTAAATAGGCTTCGGATCTGTTACACTCATGTCCGAAGCTTACTCAATAAGTGATCGGAACTAGGTATGCAGATTGACTATACAAAGCCAGACATTATCGCAGTTACAAAAACCTGGCTGGCACAGTCTATAGATAGTATGGAACCTGATTTCAAGGGTTTCACGTTAGTAAGAGTCGACAGAATACAAAAGCGTAAAGGGGGGTGAGTAGCTCCATCCATTAGGAATGCTATCCCATTTGCCCTTATCGACAGTGTACCCTATGAGAGTGGGACGTGTGAATTAGTTAGTCTCCGCTTGAAATGCAAGGGACAAGAGCTGCTGATTGGCTCGGTCTATCGCAGTCCAAGCTGTGAGGTAAGTGAGGTCCTGCTATGCAGTCTCAATACTTGATCACAACGTGGTCGATGTCTAATCCTAGGGAACTTTAATGCAACTATGGTAGACTGGTAAAATCTGTGAACTGAATCTTCAGAAAATTCCTTCGAGCAGGAACTAGTTGATGCGGTTATCACATGTGCTCTAGTGCAACATGTGAAAGAAGCGACTAGGTACGACTCGGACTCTGAATCATCCTCACTAGATGTGATACTTCCTCACTATGCGGATGACGTTGCGAACCTCCATTACATGCCACCCATAGGAAAAGTGATCACGCAGTTCTGACTTTCGACTTCCATATAACTGTCAATCACGAGCACGCGTCAGCTCAATCCAGACTTAACGTCTGGAAAGCAAATATACCAGATATCATGCACTCAGCATCGTTAGTAGATTGGACAATAGACCCAGAGGCCTCAATTGAAACGGCCCGGGAAGTATTTCGAAATTCATACTTAAAAGTCACCGCACCCCACATCCCTTGGACTATACCAAATGGGCCGAAAAACTCACCAACATGGTTCAGTAGGGAGGTCCGTATCCTGCTCCGTAAGAAAAGGAAAATGTGGGATAGATTTAGGATACTGGGGACTGATGAGTCAAAATCTCAGTATCGAAAGGCTCGGATAACTTGTGCCTTGACCGTCCATAAGTCTAGAAAACTGTACGAAGAAAAACTTGTTAAGGAATCCATAGAATGTCCTAAACGCTTGTATTCCTATATAAACCAAAGGACAAAAGAAGAAAAAATACTCCTGAACTATGGAAAACAGTACTGGTTCATATCGACGCCAAAACGTTTTTGACTTCGTATACAGTGTTCGTACGTCCTAAACGTGAGTACTGCATACAAGCGGCCAGCGCCTGCTTAGAAAAGACAGTGAGATTCTGGAAAAGGTTCAGAGAACACCAACTAAGCTGATTCCCAGAATAGCGAAGCTTCCTTATGATGCTCGACTGCCCAAGCTAAACATTTTCCCGAGGCGACGTGATTACAGTTTTCAAATTGCTTAGTGACAAATTTGAATAACATTTTCTGGTTAGCCTTTTTTTAACGAGTTAGTTTTCTACGGGATGGAGACGCTAACCCCATGCCCAACCCTCCTCCTTTGTCCGGGCTTGGTACCGGCAGTAGCCCCCGAAGGGACTCTAGGCGGAACTCTAGGGCAGAAACCTGGAGAACTACGAAAACCATCATCCAGAAAATACAGGTGTTTATTAACAGTTGTCTACACAAAATACTTCAGATCCGTTGGCCGGACACTATTAGCAACAACCTGTTGTGGGAAATAACAAACCAGATCCCAGCGGAGGAAGAAATCAGGAAGAAGCACTGGAAGTGGATAGGACACACTGAGGAAAGCACCCAATTGCGTCACAAGGTAAGCCCTAACAAGGAATCCTCAAGGCCAAAGGAAAAGAGGGAGACCAAAGAACACATTACGCCGGGAAATGGAAATAGACATAAAAAAATGAACAAGAATTGGATGGAACTAGAAAACAAGGCTCAGGACGGAGTGGGTTGGAGAATGCTGGTCGGCGGTCTATGCTCCATTAGGAGTAACAGGCGTAAGTAAGTAAGTAATGATAAATTTGCACCCGATACGCCTTTTTTTCTTGTCTTCCAAAACATAGTATTTACGAGAACACTCCAAAATGTTCACAAGCCCGGAACAAATTACTTGTCAGTTGACTATCGACTTTCTCATCGAATCATCAACGAGTTGAACTCATTACTTCAGCACGTGGTTGAGGCTCCATCCGTCGACTCTTTCAAAGGAAAGCTGAATAAACTGGGAGACCACCATTGCCAGGATTAACACAGGTTATCAAGCCTCCTATCCTTTCCAAACTGAAACTGATCATTCTGTGAGTGTCAAGTCTTCTCTTGAATGAGTCAATTGAAGTTGCGGACACCACTGCTTCGGGTAACAGGTTCCAAGTATTGATGACTCGGTGTGAAAACCTGTATGCTCCGGGTATTTTGTTCATACTCGCCTTTTCTACTCCCCTGCTATATCGATCCAGTGTGAAAAAAGAGAGAACATGTTAAGTCCAAAAATGTGGAAATTAAGTCCTGAATAAAAACAACAGGGTGATTCAAACTCCTACTAAAATCGGACATATCACGCCCAAAATCATTTCTCATTACCCTATACACCGAATTATGGTCACCTGTAAAACTGAGCTTCGAGAGATTAAAGAGGTCTAGCTGTTGAATCCTCTCTTTATGTAGCAAGCCATTGAGTTCTGGAATTGCACAGGTAGCTGTCTCCGTACTTTTTCCAGTATATACGAGTCACCTTTTAAACAGGAGCTTGTAGCCTGAATTCAGTTTTCAGGCTTTTATCTCGCTAAGGTTTTGTATTCTGCAGTGATATGATGATTAGGAGTATTTAAATTATAGTATGAACTAGGAATCCCAGAAATAACGTAGTCGGATCAAGAAGTACCAAATGACCACAAACGAATGTACTGTATTTGGCATTCAAAATCAAGCATTCAGCAAGTACAAATGTATCATTAGTTCATTCAAACACCACATCCGCCACAGCCTAAATTGGAGTCTAAGTGTCTGTAATCAATTGTATGTCTTCTCAAGTTCATCCTGTGTCTGTCGGACAGTGTATTAGATAAGGACTCTGTATTATCTAGAATGTACTCAGTAGCATTAGAATTAAAAACCGAAATTAGAACAGACTAACCTGGTTCCTGGAATTGTATTTGATCAACATGTCGATTGTGTGTACTTAAGTCATTGGTATCTAAAATTCGCACCATAGATTTCCCGATATTCTTCAGGACAATCCTCGTGGATGAACGAAGATCGTTTCCACGATAATATGTAACTTCTGCAGACTCCAAACATCTCACATTCGACCGAAAAATTCTTCCTTTCAACAGCTTTGATGGAGTCTCTTTCGCCACCGAATGTCTGGTATTTCTATATTGCAGTAGAAAGGTATCTACCCCCCTCTCCAGCTCATTAAGTGTTGAGATGGCAATAGAATAAATAGAAGTCTTCAATATCGTGACAAAATTTTCTGCCTGACCATTAGAACAAGGATTTCTGGGGGCAGTGAACAGATGTTTTCACCGTATACCATTCAACCAGGTAGTGACTGAATCTGCAACAAAATGAGAG